ATGTAGATTTTTTTTGAACAGTGCAGACACGAAGTTTATTTTATATTATTTTTTCAAAATATGAAAACACATCATGAATTTTAATAAAAAATTTATACAAGTATGATATTTTTAATATATGAATTATTTAATTTATTATTTAATTAAATTTAATTTTTAAAGAGGACACCCCTGTGGAAATTTTCTGAATCCGCCACTGACTCCACCGTCACTTTCTTCTCTCCGTACACCTTACATCTTCCATTGCGTTGAATATTCCACCCGACCGCTTCGTACTCCCAATCTCTCAGATCCATCCACAAAATCACATCTCTCCTCGTGTCCTCTATCATATCCAGAACTTTCCCCTTTTATCCCAAATCTCTCAAATCCACCCACCGTGGTCACTCACCTTTCCTTCTCTGTCCCTCTAGAATTGGCCCTTCCAATTTCTTGTGCTTGAAGGGATGCCTTTGAACGGATCAACATTAGCTCACCACTAGAAGGTCTGATTTACGACATTCAACAGAAAAAACAGAGTTCCTCTTCGATTGATTTATTTTCCGATTGAACAATTTCAGGCTGGACAATATTCTCGAATCGCGGATGAAGCACATGAGTACTAGATCTGTGTGAAATTCACAACCAGCCATCAGAAGTCCCCTCTCCCGGCACTGAGATTTGTGTGAAATTAATCACCGGTATAGGTGTACTGGATCTGTGTGAAATTCCTCCAACCCACCCGCTCCAACTCTACAGCTCGGTCCCCTTTGAGTCTATCTCACCTCAAACGGCGGTATAAGAGGAATCAGAAGCGAGGGAGAGCGAGAGCTGCTGAGAAGCGAGGGCTCTCGAATCCTTGGCGACCATGAGCTCGTGTAACCTGGAAAACCCAAAAGCATAGGAAACCCAATCCTCGTCGTCCCAATCCTTGTCTCCAAACCCCAGTCCGGTCGGGTCGAGTCCTTTGCCGCAAATCCACGAGCCGATGCGATACTCGCTCCTCGCCGACGGGAAGCAGGTGAATCTGGTGCTCCTGCCTCGCCGCATGCTTCTGGTCTGCGACGGAGCTGGTGGATGCGGCCGAAGGACTGGCAGCGACGAGAAGAAGAAGATGAAGGGGAAGAAGTCTGCATGGTTTCAATGAAGCTTTTGAAACGATCCGAGATTTTTCAAGGCGCAGATCTGGTTTTTTGAATCGATTGAGGGTGGAGAGCTTGAAGGCACGGCGGAACAGAGGTGGGAGGTGGAGAGCTTCGAGGAAGAAGAAGAAGTATAAGCGGGGAAGGAAAATTTTGTTTAAGGAATTTTCAATTAATTAAAAGAAGGATAATTTCCATCTGGCATAGTTTTTATAAAAATCACCACGTAAAAAAATCGTTACTACAGTCAGCATTTATTACTATTCCGTTAAAAGTTATTGACGGAATGGCTATAGTAGTGTATTTTTCAAAATTTGGCTATTGTTGTCACAAAGTGCAAATTTGTGGCTACACAAGTGTATTTTGCCTTAAATATATAATTGTGTGGGCTGGGCTGAGCTGACAGGCATCCCACGTTTCTCATGCCCACTCCCAATAAGGTCCCATTGGCATATGCCCACCAAAAGTCGGCAGCCACCTGTCCAGCCCAAACCCACCCACCTCATTGCTTTGACGCAATATCATTTTTAGTTGGAGTCTCATTTATTCTCATTTATTTATTTATATATATATATATATATATGGGAATGGGAATATGATTAGGGTTTTCACTTGTATGGAATCTTTGGATTAATATCTATTTAGCATACATCACAAATGTTGGAACCCACAATTAATTATGACTAGCTAGCTTAGTAACAACCAACATGACTCCAAGCTAGCTACCATCAGAGTATTTGGTTCTCTCCTTATCTCCGTCCTAAAAATTATGTTTACGGAATAATGGTTGATAGATGTGTATCTCAATGGCGCATTTAATAAATGTATGTATGATGTAAAATGTACTTTTCTATGTCACAAAACAAAACACAAAATATACATTGTTGATTTACATTTAAAATTCATTCATGATATGAAATCTCAACGTGTTGAGATGGTTGAGCCATTTTTCCTTTTCGTTTATCACCCTTTCAACATCTATAATTAATATGGTTGACCTTTAACTAAAAGCAAGTTTAAAATTACATTTTTTTTTCCTTTCTTTAAAGAATAGTTTTATAACTTATTCCCAAAACTATAATCACAACCACAAAATCTTGTCATCTTAAAATGCATCTATTAAAATAATTCATACGATGCACCAATGTTAACCAAGTATATGTGTTTTAGGCTCAGCTGGTATTTGCAATTGTTAATATTGATATGTTGCATTATAAATTAATTATATTGGTTAAATCGTTGCATTATGAGATTATCGATGTTTAATTGTATTTTATGAGATAAAGTTGGAAAGCCACTTTTTGAACGAGAGTTCATATTTACCATTCCTTTTAGGTATTAAAGTCAATCATGTATAAAAAGACAATTGATTCACAATCTCATCAAAATAGTTTATTGTTGGGAAATCAAAATACGGTGGAAACTGTTGTCTATTATTACTGAAATCACATAGAATTTATATAGAGTACAAAGACTGACTTCTATAATAACCCTAACTTCTACGACTCTGATAAGGAATATAACTCTGTCAAATTACATCACAATACTCGTAGTATAAGCACATGGTATTAGAGCCTACTGTGACCGGAAAGTCTTCTGTTCGAATCCTTATGATCCTCATCTGTCTATGTTAAGCACATGGTGTCCGGATCTGTGCATGTGCAAACTCAAAGCCTATCTGAGTGGCTTGAGTTTGAGGGGGGGGGGGGGTGTTAGTACACGGTATATTATCCACAATTGAACCTCTCTCAACAACTCGAGTTATTAAGATCAATTAGTTCTTGACATTGATATTCTAAATCATTCAATTGGATGATGCATACATTCAAATGTCACATCAACAATCAAACGTGCACATTGTGTTTTATTTTGAAACGAAAAATGATACATATTCACCACTATACATTGTTTATTAAGTACATCGTTTAGATATGCTTCTAAAAAACAACCCTAGTGTCTATGTATGTATGTATGCTTGATGTTGAGGTATCTATTTAGTGTGCTAAAAGTGAAAACTCGACCGATAAATCATTTCGAGATTTCCTTGTCATTACGTTTGAATCATACTAATGCTAAGTACTGTTGGGATCGATGTACAATACTTGATCTTGTCTTGTGGCCCTTAATTATATACATACATAGTCCTATCCTATATATACATGCATTTTCCCTCGTCAACATGCTCGATCCTATTCCTAAACCATTTTGTCGTACGTGGAGTGCCGACAAGCAAATTAATTAGTTACGTTAGTCTTCCACATCGGGGCTAACCATTTTAGTTGCAAACTAAAATGATCATGTATGAAATATTAACACGTCATCCTATTTCTAATCATCGGGAGAGAGAAGGAAAAAAAATCTTCATGTGACATTAAATTAAATTATTATTTATACGCGCGTGTAAAATGTGTGGAATGACTTTAATCGGTGGATAAGTCCTGCGCTGAGCGCTGACCAGTTCATAATAAGCTCATCATCATCATCCATGAGTTGACTGGCATATATATGCATCCTTTGTTGCTTTTGCTCTTCACACGACACGTACTCGATCGTTTTTTTTTGTTTTTTTTTTATATGATCACATACATACATATCTATCTACAGTAGCCAGCTAGTGCACCGAATAAATGCAACCCAACCTTATTGAAATGCAACAGATGTGTTGGGACTGTTCTGACCTGTCGTTTTCCAGATCTTCCTTCTCCCCCTGTACTGTACTGTGTGTAAAGGGAGAAAGCTCATCCGAAAAGGTGCGTGAATGGTAGACTTCATTCTGGAAATGGGTTAGTCGATCCATTAATTGCATGATACTGGACCGAGCCACACCAAACTTGTAAGTGCTGCATTGGGCCCAGTCCATGTAGTAGTTGCTGGCCTGCTGCTGCTTCAGCAAGAAATCGTTTATAAACTCAAGGGTAGTTTGGATGGGGGATTTGTGTGAAGTATTTCAGTCCAAATTTCTCCGTTTTGAAGGGGACGAAAATTAGAGATTTTAAGATCAAAGGGTTTCGAAAACCTGCATACATGTCGGATTTAGAAAAGGAAATCAGTTATTTCGAAATTCGGCACTAACTTATCCATTCATCGACAATCTGTCCTCTACTTCCTTTTTGTTATTCCACCCTTACCCTCATTCCGCACTAATTTGCCGGACCAAACTGTGCACCCATCCTATCCTCTCCATTCGAATTAGTAGTTTACTCGACCACTCCTCCAACTCTCCTCAACAAGACGTTAGTCTCCATCCTACACTCTCCATTGTGCGAGAACAATCTCGCGGATAAGCAAGTTGAAAATAGGTCATCGTCTCAACCGCTCCTGAAGAATCATACCACACTACCCGACTTCTCAACCATGTCGCAGGGATTTCCAAAGATTTTATCTGGGATTTGGGTAAATATTCCTTCCCTCTCAGAATCTCCAGAGATTGCCCCCATAACAACCACAAGATTCGAAAAAACCAATGATTCTCATGTCGTACCAGCAAAGCATCGCCTCTTGCTGCTGCCGTCGTCGCCAATAAAACAAAGTTCAAGATCTAGCTCCGGCCGTCTTGAAAACCCCCGGATCCACCGTGCGTAGTAGGGATGGCTAAACAGTTCAGTCCGGTTAAATTGCTCGAATTGATTCGGCCCCGATCCGGTCTTTTCGAGAATATAAGGATCAAAAATTGGATTGGGGATATCGTCCGGTCCCAATTCGATCTTGATTTTAGATTGACCTTGTGGGAATTTGAATGGCCTGAGGCCCTGAAAGGGTGAGGAATTAGTTAAATTTTGGTGTTGGGCTCTCTTATCCGGTTTTCGGTCTGGCCACGAACGAATTTTTTATTATCTCAAATCTAAATCCGAAGATGAAATTGGATTGTTTACTATCCGGTCCCAGTCTGATATCGGTCCGGATTATACGGTTCGGTTTCGAATAAAACCAAAAAGCCCAGACCAAATATCCATTTGAAGAGTAGAAATTAGACCATATACTAGCTAACCTATATATGTATATGCTCGATATATCGCTAGCTTAAAGGTAAACACGATGAGCTAATGATGAATGGCAGCGTGGAAGAGCTGGTGGAGGGTGTAAGGGCCGACAATGGCGAGGGGAGAGGTCTTGGTGATGGTTGAAGAAGGAGGAGGAGTTGGATTCCAGATCTCACGAGCCATTTGGTGGTAAGCAGTGTCAGTGAGGTGAAATGAGTCCCAGAAGAGGTATTCAGTGGGATTGTTGCAGACCTCAAACTCCTTCTTCACACTTCTCTTCCCTCCGCAGCTGTCGATCCCTCTCCACTTCCCTGTCCCGCAGCACGCCTCTTCTCCTTCCTTCAACCCTGCAACTCACCGATATCATCAATAGGGTTCATAACAAACCATATCTATTCTCTATTCATCACATTCCACTAGATGATCACTGGCTGGGGCCAACCTAGGAGAGGAGGTGTATACCGTCGGGAATTTCGGTGAAAAATTCATGTTTCGTCATTTTAAAGGATCTCTGACACAACTCTGAATTGAAATTCTAACTGACACATCTGTTGTAATTGCAAGCAGTGAAAATAATTTTTTTTATTTTTTTTTACTTTGAAGCTGATATAAAATTATATTCGAAATCATATTGGTGACCAATTTATCAATGATTATTGGGTTGTACTACCAAATAAGTAAATATAACCAACCATTAGCTAGCTTTAGTGTAATTTGGGGGTCGTTTGGAAGGTGTGATTCTTCAAATTAAAGTATTGAGTCAATTAGTGTATTATTATTCGATGTATTAGGATAATACTATTTTTGGAGGTTTAGATTATGTTTTTGTTGTAAAACCACAAAAGTAAATTTTAAGTGATATCACTAATGAGACCCCCAAAAAATTTAATAATATAAACAAAAAAAATTAATTAAATCTCACAAATACTTAAATTAGCTCAATACACCATTTGAACTCACAAATACCAAACATTTGAATTCAACAAAAGGTTGAAGATAAATCTCACCCTGTTAAACTCGTTAAAAATGCTCAAAACTTAATTAAAGCAACTAGGCAACTTATTGGCTCATTAACCCCACTTAGTTTTAATAATATTCTAACAAATCCTTTCTCTCTCTTTTAACTTACTTGAATACTCTAATAATTCTATGTTTTACAATCATGATGAAAGCCTTAAAATTAGCTTTTGCGCCTTTTCTTTTTGGTTTGATTGGGGGCTTTTTGGACATGTCCAATCAAGTAACAATCTATATGGGCCATGCACACCTCCAAAAGGGAAATGAGACAATCTTAAGGCAGCCCAATAATTGATCTTTTCTGGTGTGTTCTTTTGTTATTTTTAGTAAATGCAATCCCATGGGCCAGCCGAGCCGCAGACCAGTCAGACAGACCACCACACTCAGACTCAGCCCTCAAAAGTCAACAATTTCACCGGCCCACCAATCAAGTTAAGGCAAACGTACCGTAGTTGGAAGGATGGGTCATCCTGCGGTGCAAACTGGTGCTGAAGTCAAACAACGAATACTTGAACCCTTTCAGCTCCCTGGCCAGCCGAGGCAGAACCACCGTCGAAAGTCGAGCATTGTGCAGCTTTGCCAGCTCCGAAACCTGCTCCTCGTAGCACTTCCCATTAGGGTTCTTCATCAGCAGCCTCATCGCAGGCAGACATCCCAACGTCGGCACATTCATGAACACAAACTTCCTCCCTCCCATCCCATATATGTCCTGTACATAATACCCCATCCAAACAAGTTACCATTACTGGAAATGCCTGAGAGTGAAACAACAACAACAACAACAAAGGACAGAGGAATTGGAACTGTACTTTCACAACTGCGGTCAAGTTGGCGAGCACCATGGCTACAAATCTGGAGCTGGAGGCGTGGAAAAGGAGTGAAGACGAGGAATTGGTCAGGAAAGGGCTCATGTAATCGTTGCTTCCAATGCTGAACATGTACACTCCTCCTGATATCTTTGCATCCCTTTCCTCCTTGCCCAACTTGTTCCTCAACCCTTTCCCCACCTTCTTCATGTTCCCCAGCTGCGTCTGCAGATCAATCACCTGCAAGAACAATAAACCATGTTTCACATGCCTGATCGAGTGAAAAGCAATGGAGTTTGCTGGAATTGGAACTCTGTAGATTTGGGGCTACTGCACCAACCAACCAACCAACCAATGGGAAGTCGACAACAAAGGGAGGGTGTTCCCATTATGGTGGTGGTGGGGTTTTTGGCGCTTTACACATAACATTTGATTTGGATGTGTCGAGCACGCGGCTAACAGTCCACAGCCGCACACCCAATTGGAGCAGAGTCAGTGGACCAGAAGATCCCTTTCGAAAGTGTTTTGGGTGCAGATCGCCTGCGGATCCATCCACCCACCCAGCCTCCAAATCCCATGATTATTGTTGTTTATATTAGTAAACAATGCTAGAAGTCTCTGGTCTACTTTCAACCTATTAACCGCATAATTAATTTAATTCTCCCTAATCATAATTATTGTAGGCGGGAATGTTGAAGATCATCAAGACAAATCTTCTTTGCCGACATGGCCCATGTCGGGGACGACCGGGAAGTACTACCACGAAGTTTCTCATTCTCATTGTTTGATCATCATGATAATGGAACTGAATCAACGCGCTAATTACCAGGGGAGGGATGTTAATTAATTAATTGTTACGAGAGCACCACTTACATCTCCTTGGAAAGTCTCGACGAGAGCGCCGGCTCCGGCGGATGCGAAGTTGACTCCCATCGCCATATGGTCGATGTTGTTGCCAGGTTGTAGGAAGGGTGGAATCAGCGGCAGCTTCGCGTATTTGGCTATAAACGTGACGAAAGTAACAATAGTTTGTAACCCGTAATCTTTCAAAAAACAGAATAAGGTTAAATGGAGATAACAGAGTAGAAAAGGGACCAATGAAGTCCGGGAGCAAGCGGCCGTCGGAGAAGCGGCCGGTGGGGAAGTTGAAGAAGGTCCGGCCGTAAGGTGGGAAGTTGGCCTGGTCTAAGGTGGTGGTGTTGATGTAGTTGTTGTTGCCGGCGTCCAGGAATGAGTCGCCGAATATGAAGAAGGCCACACCAGTACTCTGTTTTCCCCTGCCACCAACAACATTATTCTCTGCTCTGCATCTGCTGCTTGCTGTGACGATGACAAGCAGAAGCAGAAGGCGAAGTTGTGGAGATAAAGAAGAATTTGGCTTCTCCATCAGATTGGAAATGAAGGAGGAGTCGAGAGAGAAAGATGGAGAGGCGATATGGAAGGAGGTGGAGGGGATGGGCGCATTAATCAGCAAGTTGTCGCCATGCAGACAGCGAGATGGATAGAGAGAAAATGGAGCAGCCTGCTGTGATGGTGGTGGTGTGGCTAGCTCGCTGCAGGATTGGAATCTTTATATAAGTGTGTAGGCTAGTTCCTTCCTGGGACACTCTGTCCCCTCTTTTTATGTCACACAATCTAATTTTCTAGCAGATTAAGTGAAGACATGGTAGGGTATGCTGGTATTGCCCTTGACTTATTAGGTTTATGTAGGGATGACAAGATAATTTATCATCGTGGGTATTCCAATTGAATCAATTTTATTGGGGAAAATTCAACTTACGTTAATTTTGGGTGGATTTTTTAACTGATTGTTCGGGGATGGTGCAGGTGTATTTTTCTCGAGCTGTATACTAGTTGATTTTGGTATACGTCATATGACATCCTCTCACAACTTTGATTATGAGGATGGTTATGATTTTAAAACAGTAGTTCGGAGATGTAAGAAAACCGAACCCTCTGAACCCGTTGCCATCCCTAGTTTCTGAACGGGAGTAGCTCTTAGGAGTTAAATATAACAAACCATTAAGGCAAGATATTGGGCAGTACTGGGGTGTTTGAAAAGAAATGTGAGGAGATGTTTTCCTAACTTATGCAATATAGAAAGTGGTGTAAGCTTGAGGAGCATACGTAAGCTACTTGTGATCAATGTAGTGATAATTATACTGCAAAACTGTGGGGGAAAATGGGAAGTCAACTTCAAAGGTCTATTCTGCCAGGAAATGGAGAAGTTGATTGTTCCCACATTACTTTACTTACTGGTCTCCTATATGCACTTGTTTCTTGTCCTTCCATTTTAAATCCAAAAAGTTCCATTGACTGTCTGAGATCCCACAAGTGCATATAGGAATGAGAAATAGTCGTATCTCGGATTCTTAACTTGATTTGGTAGGTTTTGGAGTTTGGAACAGCCTCAACTGGGATATACTTAATCAATGTGTACATTAATTATACAACGTCATTAATTAGCAACTTGATACATGATCAAGATAGGATGGAAGATACATCGTCTCGTCCGTCCATCCAGATCATATGTTGTCATGATGTATATTTGACAGGATCTTCAAGGAACAACCTATTAGTGTAGTGTAAATGCCATCAGTGATCAGAGCAGAGCACTTCACTCGTTAAATTGTTGGGCCTCTTTCTTACCCATATGTTGTCAAATTGCAGAGTGATGATTCTTGTTGGAAAAGATTAGGAGTCCCTTGTTAGCGCCGTAATAATCCAATCCAGAAAATATTAAGTGGGCTGGTCTCAGCTCGATCGACCCTCCACCATTGATGTGTCCAGTGTGAACTCTGTATCTCAAAACCAACAAAGTGCCCTGTTGTGTCTCTTCTGCTGCTCTTTCAGATGATGGCAGGCGGGAGGAGAGACAGAAATGAAACATCATATACATCATTACAACGTTGGCCCATTACGTTACATACTCAAATCACCTAACAGTTATCAAAATGAGATCAGGTCGAATACCTAATCAGTAATGTATAAACATCATATAACATTCATTAACTAGGTATAACAAGGAGATACTTAGATCAGGACAGACAGGCTGAGTTGTTGAATAGAGTTGTGTGGTTCATACTGTCTCACCACTTGAGTTGAGATACATGCTTGTTTGCGAAAGGAAGAGACCATTTAGGATGTTTGACAGGGTTTTCAAGGAACAACCCATTAATGTAGTGTAAATGCCATCGGAGCAGAGCACTTCACTCGTTAAATTGTTGGGCCTCTTTCTTACCCATTCTTCCCATCTCCAATATAGGCTATGCAACTCAACCAACTAAAATGCCCTATTGGACCTTGGGCCCAGACCAACATCCCTATGCTACCGACCAAGGTTGTCAACCTGAGGGGTCGACCTACTTTGTTCCTGGCCCGGTGAGGAAAACAGGGCGCACGCAGTCGTCGGGCCGACCGTTACATCATACATGGTACCCGGTTGGAGGTCAAATTGTGTCATTTTTTTCTTTGGTTTGCGAAATGCGCCTATTTTTCGATTTTTATTTTCGCCTAACACAATTTTTGGAATCCTAAGTTGAACATTTGAATATTGATGTTATATAAGTGTGTGAAAATTTCACTACATGTTGGATCTAAATACATGTTATTTTGATGGAATATTATATGTTATAACTCATAATCTCATATGTTAGATGAAATTTGATATAATTTATCAGGATAAGTACAATATAATGACTTTTTCATATTTTCAGGCTAAATCGGGTGACCCATTAACCCTTGACCTACTAATTCGACCGGGTCCGAATCAGCCCGCGGGTTGACAACCTTGCTACCGACTAAAATTCCTGCTCCGCGAGCTGCAATAGAGGAATCTAGACAGCAGGAGGACTGACTAGTGACTCCTCTGCACTGGTTTTGGTTTATGTGGCATTGGCAACTTGCCATCATCAACAATGAAAATCAAAATGAACCAAATAATGACGCCCTCCACCACCGCAAAGGGCAGGCCCACTCTGCAATCGCATTCTTGTCTACTCACATACTTTGGAGTCTTTCCCACACACGACACAGCAGATGAACAGATTCCAAGTCATCAGCAGCCACAAAAAAGATCGACGGCCAACAGACGTACTTATGTAACTCCAATGATGCATGGATACATCGCTGGCGCCAACGTGACGGCAGCAGAGCCTCCACCACCGCCCTGCCTCCCTTCCTCGCCTTCCAATGCACTGTTATTAACTTATTATTGTGCCGCAGAGGGAAGCAGATGCAGAGCCACCAACCACGACGATGCCTCGCCAGTCCTACATCGTGCCAGGCACAAATGGTGACTAGACTCATTTTTCCTTCTTCTTCTGGTAGCTTCTTCTCCCACCTTCACTTTTGACCATTTCCCCTCATTCATCTTTTTCACTTTTACCATCCATCATCTTCAACCCTCTTGCCTGTGCTGCTGCTGTATGCAATGTACCAAACCCAATTCCCAGCATCTCTCTCAACCACCTTTCCTCCTTTCTTGACACGTTTTCTTTACTACCTACTTTCTTCCCCATTCAACTTTCACCTCCTTCAAACTAAACAGGCTCAAAAGTCTACCCCTTTGCCCCCTCTTTCCAATCCTCTCCCCTGTTTCAGCAAAGATAGGAACAAGAAAACGAGAGGGGGCAAATTCAATATTCAAAAACCCCCTTCTCATCTCATCTACAGTTGTATTTGTAGCAACTAGCAAGACATTTTCCACAGGGTATAATGAAAGCAGCATTTCATTAATAACCACGTTCTGGAACAACGAAAGAACTAGTCAGACATTATGGTCTCTTCTCTCAGTTAGGTAGGAGACCATTGACATGAAGGGAAAATGGTTCAGAAGCTTCATAATGCTCTTCTTCTCTACCTTCCCAACATCACAGACAGACCATGCCACCACATAGCAGTCAAATTACAATCAGGGATCATACTCATTCAACATCTTGGAAAATGTCTTTCTTTCTAGAGATAAAAGGCAGCTTAGCAGAACAGCATCAATAGTCATCTATATACTACAGTACTCTTGCACTAAAAGCTCCAGGTGCGACGACACAGAAACAAAACAGACGACTCCTCTTACATTTGCCTTAACGCAGGTCCAGCCTGACTTCTTTCTTTCTTTCACCTCCCACACCAAACTCCACTGCAATATACAAAAATGTCACATTACAAACAGATATGGACATGGGAAATATGTAAAACAACGGCTAATGACAGACTTATTGAAACGAAACCAAAGGTTCAGTTATGCTTTAACAACTTACAACATGGTAGCCTTTATTTACAACAAACAGCACAGCAGAATCTGCTCTCTTAATAAGCTCCTCCAACCATGTTGGAGAGGTCATCAAAGCTCCACAGGCCCATTGTGTTCCCATCATCCTGCGTTGTTGTTGTTGTGGTGGTGGTTTCTCCGTTAAGTAGATTCTCAAGGGAAGCCTCCCAGCCTCCTTCCATATATGGCATCTGAAGATAGTTATCAAACCCAAACAGCTCCTCTCCCTCGGCGGAATTCCCTTTGTTCCCTTCCTGGGGAGGAACCTTAGCACCATCAGAATTATTGAACTTCTGTTTCTTGCTGGGATTAGCATCCTCCTCTCCGAATGCAGATTGGTTGAACTCAGGCCCAGCTAGAAACACAGACGAGATCTCGGGGGTCCTTGGGGCGCCCTGTTCGGTCCATCCAAAATCAGAAAAATCAAAGGAATTGCTCCCCTGATCAGAACTGAAGTACATGGGAGCACTGGTGTCAACAGCAGACTTGACTCCAGCATTTCCATTTGAGGGCAAGGTGTCCATATTCCCGAGCTGGTCCAGTGACGGTTTCTCTTCCACGTAGTTCATAGAGTTGAAGAACTCTTGCTCAGCATACTCCGAGTAACTGGCATCCAATTTTGGGATTGCCTTGGGAACTGATTTCTGAGCTTTGCTCTTTGTGGAGAGCTTAGATGTAGCCGAACGTGGTGCTGCTTCATCAGGAAAGTTCACCTTAGCTTTCTTGCCGCGGATTCTACGTGCCTCGGCATCATAAGCTCTGGCAGCTTCTTCAGCAGTGTTGAATGTGCCAAGCCAGACACGAACTCCTTTACTGGGATCACGAATCTCTGCAGCCCATTTACCCCATGGACGCTGTCTGATCCCCCTATACTGGTTTTTCCTCTTTCTCTTTGCAGATCTTTCAGCTTGTCCACTGAATTCCACCGACTTCACCGCTGTAGAGCCTTCAACAAAATTAAGAACAAACGAAAAACACAGATTCATCAGCAAAAAGCAAAGGTAACATCTTTGGACTTTTAGAGCTTCACGAATTAGTTTAAGCTATCAGCATGTGCACAATCAATCATACAGTCAACAGGGATGCCATAATAGCAACGAATCTGTCAAGCATGACAGACCCAAAACTTCAGTTGAACAAGTCAATTATTACCGCAATAATAGCCAAACTGAGTTTTGCTGTCCTAATAACAAAATATCAAATGTTTACAGGCGAGGATTAAAGACGGAAAAAAATCTTTATATCCATAGCGTGTGCCCTATGCATATAGCAGAGATCCAATCAGCAACGATTATTCAATACCAAGTTCCAATGTTTAAGGCTGCAAACAAGAACACAAATCCAGGAGTTTGAAAGATGTAAACATAA